TAACCTCTTGTTTAACACAGAATAAACACAGTTTTTGTGTGAACTATCCCTTTAAGCTCTTATTTTGGCTGAGGTTTCTTACATGACTGATCCTGGACAGTGTCCCGCTGAAAGCAGAGTAACCACCACATCCTCTGTCTGAAGAGAAAACACACACCCCTTCAGATCAACTCAGAAACGGTCAAAAGAGTGAAGTAGATGCTGAACACACACACACACACACCTCTCCTGTGCTTTCATCTATGAGAGATATGCTGGTTGGACTGTCAAGTTCCAAAGGGACCTGGTAATTAAGATAAAGGTTGTTATATCAGGTTAACAAAATAACTCATGTGAAAAGTTGCATGCCTGAGAGTAATACTTACGATATGATCTTCCCAGAATGCATATCTGGGGTTACTAAGCAGAAGCTCCTTTGTGACGTATGAGCAGTACAGCTTGACGGTTAAACTAGGAAAGAAAATGGTTGTCAATGTTTTTAATTTTCCAATTGAATATATTTAAGACACATTCTGTACATACCAGGGGTGACCAAAAGCCGTCTTGGAGGGCCGATGTCCTGCAGAGTCTTGAAGTTTGTAGTATACCTAGATAGTTTGATTAGGTGGTCCAGATGTGTTTAATTGTGGTTGAAGCTAAACTCTGCAGGACACCGGCCCTCCAGGACAGAGTTTGGGCACCCCTGGTATATACTCTAACTTTCTTGGAGTAGATAAAGATGACATTTAACAGTGCTATTAAATTGCTTGCTTGTCTAAAATTCAAATAACAGCAATATATCATATTAAAATGATAGAAATGTAATATATAAAGCACATATCACATTTACAATTCTACATGTTAATGCTATATAATAAATATATTAGTATTTGTACTCTGAACGTTTATTTACATTACCAGTTTAAAAACAAAGTGTGAACTCTACTGTGAGTATTTACTTTATCATTATTAGCTTACAAACATGTAATAAACTATTAAACATGTAATAAACTATTAAACATGTAATAAACTAGGGCTGCACAATATTAGGATTTTTTTTTTGAAGGGTTCATAATTTTAGGTTGATTACTACTATTAGGATTATTTTGCATAATACTTAACCAAATTACAAGCACAGATAAATACATGAGTAAAAATGAAATAAACAGTGTCATCATATAGTGTTCAGGCACAGAGCTTGAATACTACATGCAAAATATCACTGTATAGTCTTCATCATATTAAACAATAAATAATCTTTGTAATCTAAAGCTTCAAACGTTACAAATTTAGTGCTTTTATGCTTTCTTGAAATGCTTAATAATAATCACAATTGAACCATTAAAACTTTCACTACATTATGGATAAACTATCGTACCTGATCAGTGATCAACTATAATGATGAGTGGACATTGCACATGTTAGGATGTGACTATTCTGGGTGTGTACATTGCGATACCGATGCTGAAACGATATATTCTACAGTTCTATCATAAACTAGTTTATAAACATGTACAAAAATTTTACTTATATTTATAAACTCTTACAATATGTAGAAGCATCACTGACCTGAACTTGAGTTTTCTCTTCAGTAAAGGTCCTTTCAACCCTTTCATATGATCTGTTAAACAAGTAAACACACAGGTACATGTCATAAAAGAAGTGTACGCAAACCCTATTATCCTCTCACTCTGTCTGGGGAGTCCTCGAGTAATGTAATATCCAATATCACTTATAAATGCACCTTTATGGCAGTGAGAGAGGAAATAAGCTCTGGCGTGCAGATTCTCCCTGTCAAAGCGGTCCAAGGAGATGCTGGGATACTCCTTCATACGGCCAGCGAAGGAGCTCATGGTGAAAGGCTGAGTAAACACTCAAAGTAGGTAAACCTATAGGTCATCACTGGGTGAGCTCTCCCCGGGCTGGAGAGCAAGAGCCCGGCATCTGTCCTGTCCTCCTGCTGGCATCGCACTGCAAAATCACGTGAGACGGAAATAAACATCTGTAACCTGATAGTGGAGATGCGACAGCGCCATCTAAAGGACTATAGACTCATTACGACACTAAAAAATAACGCGACAAACTAAAGTAAATCGACATACGCTAAAATTGTAAACAGACGCAAAAATAAATACATCGTTTTTCGAAATAAGTGAGCACATTCAGTTCGTTTCTTCTAGCGCAGCTTATAGAAATCATCATGCAGACTGTCCAGCAGAGCTGTGTAACTCCGGGTTTGTTTTTGACTGGCCGTTTTAATTCTGTTGCTAAGTTACAGTGACGCCTAACACGAGGATATTATTGACAAGTCAGCTTTTTAAGCACACACGTCGACGTAAGTACGCATTAAACATTATTATCGATAAAAGTATAGACTAATACTATAGTTTAAGGCGTGCTGGGATGATTAAGGCATGAATTATGTGCTAGTGGTAAATGCTGTTTTATGAGATTTTGTAACTTACTAACACTGAATCGGTGGTTAAGGCGTAAGTTAACGTTATTTGAAGTGCCGTCTATTTTCCTCTAAAATCGTCATTTATCTGAAGCTCTTGTGTGTTTAGTCATTTCACTTGTATAGTAAAAATGTTATTTTTATTGAATTAAAACTAAAATAACTGAACATAATCGTTCATTTTAGATGACCATTTTAGTTTGTTGGCATCTGAACTGTTCACTGTTTCCAAAGCTGAATAATAGTGTGTGTGTGATGTGTTTGTTATGATACACAGGAAGCATGGCGTGCGCAGTTTTATTGGATAATAATGCCAAACCAAAGTCTATGAGCAGAGCAAAGCAATGGACGGGTGAGGTGGAGAACCTGTACAGATTTCAGCAAGCAGGATACAGAGATGAGCTCGAGTACAGACAGATCAAACAGGCTGAGGTACACACTGCTTACAATATCATACATTATTATATTATAGAATGCCTAATAATTAGTTAATATACATGCATGCATTCATACAAAGACAGAAACTGTAGCAATGTATAGTTTCACAAAGTCAAAGACAGAGTTATTAGTCTCATGTGAATATTTCATACTTTTAAAATATTACGTTTACAAATATTTCCTAATAAATAAGTTCTGTTTGGTAGATTTTTTCCCCAACACATTTTTAAACATAATATTTTCAATAACCCATTTCTGATTGATTTCTTTTGTCTTTGCCATGATAACTGTACATAATATTCATCTAGTTGTTTGGCATGATGGTAGTATTCAGCTTAAAGTGAGATTTAAAGCATTTAACATGTAAACATTTATTCATTCATTCATTCTAGAAAGTGCTTTCTAGCTTTAGACCATTTCAGTGTGGCCATGTCATTGGCTCATAAACATTTCCTGCTTGTTATCAAACTATTTCATAACTGTAACGAGGCAATTCAATCATAACCTAATGTTAAACAGCTGTCATAACATAACATCAAATATGTGGCTCTTTTTGGATTCTCGGAAGCTATAGAAATTAAAAATGTTATACAGGAAATACGTTGTGACCATTGTTTATGTTTACATCCCTCAAAATGGTCTATATAAAACGGCAAACTCATGTTTGACTCAGATGCTTAATGTTTTGAAAACTGCTGTGCTTTGGTTTAGATTGACCGCTGGCCAGACACCGGCTTTGTGAAGAAGCTTCAGCGTCGAGACAACACTTTCTACTACTACAACAGAAAGCGAGAGTGTGAAGACCGAGAAGTGCATAAAGTAAAGGTGTATGCATACTGATCCAACCTCCACTCCTGCACTTGTCATTTTTAGCCATGCTGTCTTTGCAAAACACATGATGTTTTGCTGTATACTTAATGCAATGGTATCTTTTTAATTATAAAATGATTTAAATAAACATGTTTCATGTGCTTTATTTTTAAAACATGAACAAGATGCCAGCGTTTTATGTCTTTAACTAGAAGCAAAATCAATATATGTTATTATAGGTTTGTGTGTATATATACACATCTAATTTATACCCCACTGGAAAAGTTGGTTATATATTCGCACATTCATTCAGAGACAACTTGTGACACGCTTTCTATATTGTTTACCATGCTACTTTGAATATTCTGCCTCTAATCGCATACAAGTACCACTTCAAAATAGCATTAGCACTATTTATTTGACCGTGAACAGTGTTGTACTTTGATAATCATTGACTGCTAATATGAAATGAAATGTTTTGATCAAGGAGAAAGTCTGAATGTGTGAATATTAAAGCTACTTTACTTCAATGGAAAAGACACACTGTTTGAGCTAATACACTAAAGGAAATAAACAAAACTCATAATAAATCAACACACGTGCGTTTTTCACAAGTTCAGCTCTGGGTGAAGACAGTTACAAAGCTCTTGTAAAGGGGAAATGAAACAAAACCTGTGGCTAGTTAAGGCTTCTGTAGGTCTTAAAACATATTGCGTTCACTTCAAAGTATGCAGTACATTATATTTACTTGAGTCAAAGTCATATAGACCATTTTGAGGGATGTAAACAATAACAATGGTCCTAACGTGTTTCCTGCTTTACATTTTTATTTTGCATAGCTTCTGAGGACCCAAAAAGGTCCACATATTGATGTTATGTTATGACAGCTGGTTTAATGTTAAGTTATGTTTGAATTGCCTCTTGTTAAAGTTATGAAATAGTTTGACAACAAGCAGAAAATGTTTATGGGCCATTGACATCACCACATTGAAATGGTCTGTACCTTCATAAAACCTTCGGAAAGTTGTTCTTAACCCGTTAGTTCTTAAGTTTTAAGGCAAATCCATGTTCATACTTATTAAATAATCACGAACACAACGAATCCACATGATCTAAACAATGATTTACCATTTTTTCCGTGCATTTACTGTTGCTTATAAAATAAATGAGACATAATTTGATATCTGTGTATTCATTAACAAACGACCTCGATTATTATAAACAATACACACCAGCTGTCCCTTTAAGATAACGTCACTTCCGGTTTCATGCACCGAGCCGTCATTACTGCTGCTCTTTTGAAGTCATGCGGATAATACGCTGATCGGAATATCAATAAATCCCCCCGCTTGCTTCATCAAGGTAAGTTATTATAGTTTACTTTATTATACTCCCATTCCTTCGTAGTCGTTTGTGCAGCTTCTTTTCACTCCCATTAGCTTGCTAGCTCTGTGATGGCTTAATATTAATCTATATCAACAATCTGAGTGTTTGCATTTATTCAGCTGTGAGCGTTTGAATGATCTGTCAAGTAAATATAACTTTGATGATCATTTGTTGTGTATCAGAGCAAATGTTATTATTAGCAGAAATCTGTTCATTCACTTACACTGGAATAGGCAAAGTAACGATAATAAAGTCATATTATTGGACTGAACATCCTCGTTTTATTGGTATATCAGCAACTATATGTATATTAAAAACAAAAGAAACGTGACTATAACAAGTAGAGCTGATTGAGGTAAAGTTGGTTTAATATTTGCACATTCTTCAACTTATGATATGCTGCCTATATTTTACTTTGAATATTTGGTCTGAAATTACATGAAAGTATGACTTAAGACAACATTAGCACTATTTCATTTACTATAAACAATGTGCTTTAATTGATGTTCATTGGCTGCTAATATGATTTCCCTATATATACATTGCAAATAATACTTCTCTGAAATATTATTATTATTAAGGAGAAAGTCTGAATGTGTGAATATAAACCTATAAACTTAACTCAATATAGGGCTGCATGATATTGAAAAAAAACTCAATATTTTCATTCATAGCGATTTATATTGCTGATATTTACCAGATTTACTTGAATAGCTTTTAAAGAATTCATCATTTTAGATAGATTTGGATGATTCTGTCGGCGAGCATATCTGCAAAATATAGTGTAATACAATAAAAATGTAAATATCATTTTATAAATGACAAGCAAAGTTAAATAAAACGGATACAAATAAATAATGATTTATGAGTCAAACAGTATTTAGAAACTCTAAATAACCACTATATAATAATAATAATAATATAAATAACATTATTTTCATTGAGTAAATAATTATATAATGTAGGGCTGGGTGATATGGCAAAAAATGCAAAATGCTTCATAACTATTTTCTATATTGAATGATAATGATATACATTTCGATTTAAGTTGTTAATGCTTCTGGATTTAATAGAGTACCACAACAATGACTGTAGCCACAAAAAATAGATGGTCCATTAAATGGTGGCTGAAAATTAAGTACATCTCTAATATCAACACACTTTTAGATTCTCATTGTTGCACATTTCTGCTGTGTGATTGGCTCTTAGATCAATATAAAGTCAAGAGCTTATCATTGTTATAGACATAAGTTTTCTCGCGATTTCAATATAATATCGTTTAACTGCCCAGCCCTAACATAATATACAATTAAAATCTTTAAATATCTAATTTGCTGCACCCAAATACCTTAAGTTAGCTTGAAAAGCTTACACAGTCACAGGCCTTAAAACACATGCTTAAACTTTCACTCTAAGATAAAAGTTTACTCCACCATGTTTTGAACGATAATGTCTGGTCAACCATAATCACGACTTCACTGCACTCTTACAGGGTCTCTGCAGGGTGTTAAAAAAAGTATGAAAAATTAATAAGTCAATTTAGGGAAATTTAAGGCCTCTAAAATGTATTTAAAAGTCTTAAATGCTGTTTTATAAGGTATAAAATTGTTTCAGTATGCTACGCTAAATATCTCCAATGACTTCATCTTCTGAATTGCAGCTCCTGGTTAAATAGTATCCTAATTTAACTCTGCAGATTCTGTGATGAGACTATTGTGAATGCACACATTGTGATATCGATGCTAAAAAGATATATTGTGCAGCCCTAATTTGGATGAAATCGATAAAATCCGGCTAGATTTGACATTAAGCTGGTTTGTTTACTGCAGCAACCAAGGAAACATCATTATTCCTGATGTTATTTTAGGCGTCACCTGCAGAATTTTCATTTTTATTCAGTATATGAAAACATTTTAATTTAGGAGAAGTTTCTTACGATCAGTGTTTAGTAAATATACTGCAAGTTGGCGATGATGCCCTAAAATGTATATAAGGTGTCTTTAAAAAGGTTTTTTCTCTCTGATTTCTGTATATAAGTTTAAATGACTCCACAATGTTGTCAACCATAAAGTCTGGTCAACTATAATCACCACTACATTGCAGAGCCTTGTGATGTGACTATTGCAGACTCACACATTGCAATATCAATGATAAACGGATATATAGTGCAGCCCTAATAACAATCAGTGTAAGCAAATGACCAGACACTAACAGTGCGTTTGTTTTATTTGGTTACAGAGCTAAAAACAACAACAACAAAAAAGAGTCATCCTTCTCGTCTTCCATCCTCAGATATTTGTGCTCCTGCACTAATTATATTTAGGATTTCTGAGTCCTCAAACCTTCATCATGATGAATATTTGCATCATACTGCAAGGTAATGTACTGTAGCAACATGATAGTAAGTTTTATAATTGAGGTGAAGTTGGTTTTATATTCACACATTCAGACTTTCTCCTTAATAAAATCATTTCAGAAAACTGTTCTGTCATATTAGCAACCAATGACTATCAAATCAGCATCGTTTACAGTCAATTAAATAGTGCTAATGTTGATATTTAAATGTGATTTCAGACTAAATATACAAAGTAGCATGGAAAACACTAAGGAGCATGTCACAAGTTGTGTCTGAATGATTGTGCAAATATTAAACCAGCTTTTCCTCTATAAGTTATCGTTTTATAAACGTATTAAAGCCATATTAGGTTAATAATGCAAATATTAGCTTTATTACATATGCACCATCATATATGACTTCTGAAGAGCACTAATGATAAGAGGAGTCTGTCTTTCTACTGACACCATCACTAATGTACTTAAATAGCCAAAATGTTGTTTAAATATTATGATTATATGTGACTTCGTAGTTGAATTAAAAACAAACAGGGCTTTGTTGCGAGCCACAAACCACATAAACTGCACAAAGGCCCTGTTTCCCTCAGCGCTGACGCCAAGATCAAGCGCTCACATGACCGATCACACATTTTTAAGGCTGTGCTTATGGTTTCATGAACCAGGCAGTCTGAATCAAGCCAAGCCTCAGGGCTGATTATTAGAAAGACAAGCTTGTTGTGTTCCTCTGAAAACCCCATTGTAATGAAACTCTTTGGATTCCTGGGAAAAAAGGGAGCAAAGTTCAGAAATGATCATTTAGTGCTGGAGTTTTTACATTGATATGGCGTGAAATTATCAGTAGGTATGTAAATGAATGTTTTAACATGTTATGAGCTGTGATGTGTGCTCCAGGTAGCCAACCATGAGTGTGATGTGCTTGTAAATCGCTTGCTGTGAGGAGAGAAGCGCGATCATGCACCGCCATCCTCCACGCCAGAAGAGCTGCAGCTGCTAGAAGGACTCAGGGAAGTGTGTATGTGTCGCTCTGGCCATGGATGACTTCACTACACGCACCTATGGCACCAGTGGCATGGACAACAGGCCTCTGTTCGGAGAGACCTCGGCCAGGGTAACTCAACGATTTATTTATTTATTTGCTTTTAAAAAGTCAACATGAAATCACAATTGAAGCTTTTTTCTAGCGCTATTTGAAACAACACTAATAATTTATTCCACTAAAATGTATTCGATATATTATAATGTGTCCCGTCTTGTGTTATCGCAATCACATCAACAATGGCATACATATTTATCATAATTTACAGAAGACGCTAATTACTATTATTTTTTTAATAACGCATGCTTGTATTTATTATGAGTTCTATAGACTATTTCAATTTAGTGACGTCATTGGCCCATAAACATTTCCTGGTTGTTTTTAAACTATTTCATTACTGCAACAAGATGCAATTCCATCATCTAAAGGTTAAAACAGCTGTCATGACATTGTTTACATTTATCAAAAGGGTTTATATTATATAGTTGCATTCCAAATGACACACTTAATGTCACATTATAATGAATATTAATGTCACAAATCAAAAATTTTTTTACTAATTAGAAATTCAAACAACTTCCCAGTCATTGTTTAACAGTTGCTAAATTAGTTAAATAAATTACTAAACTACCAAATAATACCCGTCACGAGTACGTCTACATTCATCACCACGCAGTGCGATAATTACTTGTGTAGTAGAATTTTGATTCCACAATCCAAAATAAATAATCCAACTGTGATTATTGAGTGCTTGAAGTGTCCAACATCCCACATGTTTGTTTAATCTGTTGAATAAGTTCTAATTTTAAAATTTTCGCTGTAAATGCGTGCCTTACACTTTTCAAATGACAAAATGGCATAGAATAGTGCAAAAGTAATTGATTTTAGTCATGCACCTTCAATCAATATATATATATATATATATATATATATATATATATATATATATATATATATATATATATATATAATTTAAAAAAAACTTTTAAATTGTTTCCCAGTCAATGTTTAACAGTTGCCAAATTAGTTAAATAAATTACCAAATTACCAAATAATACCTGTCAAAGCACATCTACATTCACCACCGGGCGGCGCTAAAAATCACTTGTGTAGTAGAATTTTGCATCCACAATCCAGAATAATTAATCTATCTGCGATTATTGAGTGCTTGAAGTGTCCAACATCCTACATGTATTTTTTTAATCTCTTGAATAAGTGCTTCATTCTGATATTTTGTGCACTTATTATTATATTTTTAATTTTCAGTGTGAATGCACTACTTAAACTATTTGAACGACAAAATGTCATAGAACAGTGCAAAACTATTTGATTTGGGATGCACTTTATGTATGCAAAAAACCCTTTCAATCCATTTCCCATTCAATGTTTTAACAGTTGCCAAATTAGTTAAATTACCAAACTACCAAATTCCTGTTACGTTCATTCACCACCAGGCAGTGCCATAATCACCTGCGTTGTAGAGTTTTGCTTTCACAATCCAAAATAAACAATCAACTGCGATTAGTGAGAGTATGAAGTGTCCCACACGTCTTATATTATCTATTGAATAAGTGCATCATTCTGATATTTAAAGTGCACTTATTCTTTACTCGATTTTTCGGTGTGAATGCACTACTTACTCTATTATTAAAACAACAAAATAACAACGTGGAATAGTAAACCTTTTCAAATCGTTTACCAGTTGCCAAATTAGTTAAATTACCAAACTACCAAATAATACCTGTCATGAGTACATCTACATTCACCAGCGGGCGGCACCATAATTACTTGCGAAGGAGAATTTTGTCTTGAATACAACTATGTTCACCACCGGGCGGCGCCATAATCACTTCCGTAGGTGAATTTTCTTCCACAATCTAAAATAAATAATGTCGTTATGGTTCCAAATACAGTAGATAGTAAAGCTGTTTTGCAGCATGAGAGAGTAAGAAAAGCTTATTACAGTTGCATAGCCATAAAAATGCATTCTTATGAGGGATTCTGTGGTTCAGGGTCACATATTTAAATATTGATGAGAAATAGAATAAATAACTGAACTTTATCTGCAAATTACTTAAATTTTCCTTTTTTCAAACTCATTTTTATACTCTTGAAGCATTACATTGGTGCTGTGTTGTGTAGATGTAACAAATAGTATATTTACCAAAGGAAAAGCACCTGTAAAGTGATGTTATATTGCTTACTTCCTGTTACAGCTTACACTGTACACTAATATAATGCTGTTGATCACCTCCAGGATAGAATCATCAATCTAGTAGTCGGTGGACTTGCATCTTTACTTGTTCTGGTAAGTGTTTACCTCTTATGAAAATTTCAGGGGCCATTTATGCAACACCACTTTCAATTAAAAATGGTTCTTGGTTCTTCATTTGCTTTTGAAACAGTGTAATCCATGTAATGTAGTTTTTTTTTTGGTGAAAACTGTGATTTTAGTACATCATCATATAAGCATATCATCAGTCAACCTGTTTATCATATTTGACTCAAACTCAGCCTCTCTTTCAGGTGACCATCATTAGCTCATTCGTCTTTCCTTCACTGCCTCCCAAACCACTCAATATATTCTTTGCCATCTGCATCATGCTAGTCTGCGGCTCAGTGTTGGTTCTGGTAAGTAAAAAAGCATTGATTATTTCAATCGTACCAAAATTAAAATCAATGCAAGTAAATGCAATCTCTCTCATTCTTTCAGATATACTGGTATAGGCAGGGAGATCTGGAGCCTAAGTTCCGCAACTTGATCTACTACATGCTCTGCTCCATCGTTCTGCTGTGTATCTGTGCCAACTTGTACTTTCACGATGTGGGACGTGATAAACAGAGCAATGCCTTATAAAAACCACAGGAAGCGCAGAATGTTCATCGTTATGTGGGAGCTTTGGAAACCCACATAAACCCCACCTGAATTCTTGAATCAGGAGAATTCATTTTCCTACAAGCCCCGTTTGTGTGGGCAGGCCAGTCTGCCTTTGGGAGCCATATTAATGCACATAAACATATTATAGATGCAAATATGTTAGCGATCAGTAGCACTCTGGGATGTCCGTGCACATGTTTGCACCCTCTATGCTGTACACAGCTTAACTTATATGCCAATGTAAAGACAAGAGCAGAGTTTTTGAGATAAGCCATCCACAATGCTTTTATATTTGTACATGATACATCTACGGTACACATTCCTAATGAAGAAATTGCTTATTTTGTATTTAAATTATTAGAAAAGCAATCTCGAATAAGAGCACTTGGTTAAAAACATGCAGCGGTTGTTGAGAAATTGTTTGTTTTTTTGTTCATTTTTTTCTAAATTAATGAACAGTGTTCTTTGATTGGGTGAAAACCTTATATTTTTGGTTATAACCTGGTGTAATTTGGTTTTATGTAATGAATAAATACATATACACTGTGCATTTGTAAGTTGATTGTTTTTTGTACCAAGGTTTTACACAAAAAGTTAATCCCTGATGGTCATTTTCAGTCATCAAACACACTTAAGTGTAAGTCATGCTTTGTTCAAATGTTACTTTTCCATGTTTTTTATTTGAAGAGCTTAAGTTGGTGAATGTTGGCAAATTCCATGGCAAGTTCAACCAGATGCACTGTTTTAATTAATCATTGAAGCTGAGTTAAGCTTGTTTAATTAGTGCTACAGATAAAGCCCGCTTCAACATCTCAAGCTCAGGTGCAAATTAGTGATTAGTTTAGCCATGTGCAAAAACATGGATTAACTCATGTGGCCAAAGAGGGTAAAACACACATCGGGAGTTCAGATCCCTTAATTGCTGACTTAAAATGCAGCTGCAGCATAATTAGTTCAGCTGCTGAACATTGATAATTGCAATATGCAAAAAAACACGCTCATACTTATGTCCTTCAGTGGCTCAGGCAATAAGTCAGTGCCTTCCAGTACCTGAAACCAGAGTTCAAGTCCCAGTACTGCTGACATGGAAATGTCATTAAAAGAAAATGAAACATTAAAACACCATAAATCAAATCCCTATGAACCATCACAAAGTCTGCGGTGCAGTGTATAATCGCTGACCAAATTAAACTCCTAAAAAAACTAGTGTTCAACTTGCACAATAAATATACTGAACTCATGCTCTGATTACAAATATGAAGGCTGAATTGTTATCCTCCGCATCACAAAGTTTGTAACGGATTGATTATAGCTGTTATATGTTTATTTTTCTTAACCACAACATTCGCAGAGGTGGGGATTGAACCCCGGTCTCCCCGATTGCAAAACTAGCGCTTAAACACTTGTACCACTAAATCGTGAAATCAAATTCCACTCCCATTAACCCTAAATATATTGTAATCAACGCTGCAGCTGTACTGATGAATTTAAATTACTTATACTTAAATCTGACATCTACAGACGCTACTAATTCTGTGGTGTAGAGGATAATCATTCGCTCTTGGCATCTTCTATAATGCAGAGACGTGGGTTCAAATCCAGCTAATGTGAGATGTTTGTAAATTAATGCTAGAGCTGAGGTATAATCAAGAATCACTTTGAAAACAAAGACACTAAAATGGCTGCTGTCTCTGTGGTGCAGAGGATAACTATTCGCCTGTAGCATGGATTATAACGCAGAGTTGTAGGTTCGAATCCCGCTCTTGCTACAGTCAAATGTATTTTAATTAATGCTTAAGCTTCAGTAAAAACAATAATCACTTTGAAAACAAACCCAATGATCAACACTAGCTCTGTGGCGCAGTGGCTAAGTTCTTGTTCTTTGCATGTTTTATAGTGAAAAGTCAGGAGTTCGAAACCCACTATTGCTAAAGGGAAGAATGTTGAAACCAATGCTTTAGCCGTAGTAACAACAAGCATCAGTCTGAGAGCAAACACACCGTGATGGTCACTGCCTCTGTGGCGCAATGGTTAAACATTTGTTCTTTGCCTATTTTATGACGCAAAGGTGTGGGTTTGAATCCCACTCTTGCAAACATTACGTCATAACTGCAGTCTGACCTTTAGCTAAAAACAAAAAATTCCACACATCAATCCAGCAACCTCTGTGGTTTAGTGGTTGAATGATTGCATATCAAACAAGAAAGGTTAGGTTCAAATCCCACCTTTGCAACAATTTTTCTGCATACACATTAAACATATCAATAAAACTCTGTTTGGGACACACATTATCTACACAGGCCCAATGGGTCAGTGGATAAAGACCTCAGCTTTCATCTTGGAGACCGGGGTTCGAATCCCACTTATGTTTATGTTTAACTGTTGTCAGAAAAAAGACAAAATTGCACGAAGTTCAGCTCTCAGTGTGAAAGTCACGATGGCACTAGTGGCAAACACCGTTGGTTGCGGACAAGGTTACAAACGAGGCATGGGTTCGAATCCCACCAAACACAGCTGTGAAAACAGCAAAGTACCTGGGGCGGTACAACATAAGAGGCGGTTACTGGAAACAACCTGGGGCGGTGAGACACAAGAGGCGGACACTGGAAAAAACTGGGGCGGTAACACAGAATGGTTGCGCGGACAAGAGAAACTGAAACATGGACTAGAAACATAACTGCGGTGGTGAGTGTCGGACTGAGAGATGAGCGTGATAAGGATGAGAGAGGCGTGGCCAAGAGAAGGGTGGAGTAGAAAGACGAGGAGGAGGAGTGGTGGTGAGAGAAGGAGATCTGGTGGGAGGAGGAAAAGCAGAGGAGGAAAATTTTTTTTTGAACCCAAAAACGGCCTAAAATGAACTTTATAGAAAATTTCAGTATCAGCGTGGTGATTCGAACCCACATCTCATGTGATGGCCTTGGATCTCTAACCCTTTGCTCTGACCACTAGGCCATCACTGGACATACATTGATCTGTTCTTTTCGTTATTTTGATGTTACCCACGTGTGCCGCCATTTAAAAAAAAAATTAACACAATAAACCATTTCAATAAAATAACAATTAGTATCTGCATATATTAACAATTAATAATATAGAAATAATATATAAATCTTACGTCTTTCAACCGGAATTTCTAATTTTAAGTTTCAAAACTTTTTTCTAATATTAAATTACTTTTTTAATTTGTCAAAATTGTATATTAAAGCAGAATTAAGAATATGAAAACAATTAAAACATAAAATTCATTCAAGTAAATTGAAATAATTACAACCTATTAAAATATACTGACTATAAATAACTATAAAAGTCTGTCACATATTTTAATAAAATCATATCACAATATATTAATAATTAAAAGTCTTCAAATAATAAAACAAACAGCAGGAACTCATTTCTAAAAGAATGAAGACTGTGTGACTCACATGCTGTTCAAGTCGAGGTGAGTTAATGAATCCCTCCTGCTGTCTGGTGTATGAAGGGTCCTCCACTTCATTCTGTCTAGCGATAACCTGAAGTCAAGGCTATGGCCTTCAAGCTGTCTCTGTGTTTCAGCTATAGCAAGCCTACAACATACACAAGAACAAGACAAATGCTATTGATTGTTCTGTTTTTGCAGTATAAACCATATTGTATGAAAAGGAAATAGCTAAATTAATTCAATAAATAATAATAATAAAACTATTTAAGACAATTTTAAATGTAATATCAAAATATTATAACACTTTAGATCTACACAACACCAATATACACAGACAACACACACACAAATACTAATAACAGCAAGAGAATATCATCTAGAGCAGCAATAGAGCATCATGTCAGAAAAGTCTGTGATAAACCTCCATGAAGGACCAGACTGCATTAATACATGCTCATGTTGTCAAATAAAAGAAACATTGTAAAAATAACCTCATTAAAATGACAATATTGTGATTTACATATGTTTATTTAAATAAACTGACCTGCCCAGCCAAGAGAGTTCAGAAGAAACATTCATCCAAACAAACAAACAAACAAACAATATGAACGTTACTTACAGGTCACTGTATTGTCACTGTGTTCCTGCACTTTACGGTTCGGGTTGTTTATGTGCTGTTTAGAGATATTATAATGAAATCACGGAGCTGTCAGGGTTTGTGTTTATGTTTTGTATCATCAAGCCTCATGCTGTCAAAACACCTGAAGCTGCGAGTCAGACTGAACGTAAAGCAATGCGCGCCGCCTAGTGGAGCGGATGGAGAACTGCGCTACAGTTTATAACACACGAGTCGTGTTGTAGGTTAAACACGCTTAAAATTATTATTTTAATAGTTTAATGTCAAATTCCAATCACTGACTCAGAAGGTTTTGAGGATTCAGTTTAAAACATGTTCACCCTCAAGAAAAAGTGTCTAATAAACTTGTGAATAGGTAATCCTCAGCTCCCTCCTGTGGTCAATAGGTGTATCCGCATTAATGAAATAAACACGCACAGGGTGGACGCACAGTCAGTCGAGTGAACACTGAAGACAGATTAAGGGGATTTCTATGATATTCCAGGATATTTTACAACAGATTTGACTTTGTGATTGTCTCGGCCAGCAGAAGATCGAGATCAGCTTTAACCTGATGGAGTAAAACAGGTGAACTGGAAAGCTCATGTAAACACTGGCAGCGATGAATGGACAATCCTCCGAGACTCTGGGTAAAGTAGATGCGCGTTTGACTTGATTTATTTACATGCACGTGCGCCGCTGTTGATCACTGTTAAAGTGTTTTGCTGTGTCTTGTTTGCAGAATCAAACAGCGTTTATATCAATACTGCTGGAGTCTGCAAACAATTCCAGAGCAGCAGGATTTTGTGCTTTTACCATCCAGTTACCACCACACCAATCCCTTATAGAAATCTGACATGGCAATGCATGAAAATGACACATATGACATTCAAGATCATGTTTAAATTTCACATATATAAAATATCACATTTGAAACATGTTTGTTTACAAATATAACTAATATATAAATAAAAAATATATAATTTAAAAATATAAAGTAATTAAAATATGTGCGTATATGTTTAAATACATTCTCTATAATCTCAGGTGTTCATATATGGACATTTCAGCACTGCTTTCACTAAAAGGAGATTGCCAATGTGTCTTCAGCTAAGAAGTCTAACTCAGGGCATCTGGTGGTAGAGTGGTTGAACTGCTCCAGATCCTCTCTCATATGTTCATATATGCTCAGGTCTCTATATAAGATAGGAGGCAACACAATACAAGTAAAACTCACCAGCACATTGCAGTTTCAATTAAAACCAGAGCAATTTGCATTATAACCATTTAAACTCTTACTAATTCTCTGGCAATCTCATTATTTTTTAGCTGGTTTCATGTTGAGCACTTCCCAATGTGAAAGAAACATTAAACTTAGATTGTTCAAAATATATATTTTATTATTAAAACTTGTTCATCACACATTTAATTCACACTATCCATTCAAACAAATGTTTCTATCTCCAAAAACTGTTAAATGTCATTGCTACTTCATACATGTTCATTCAGTTC